CATGGCTATCATGTTTCACCTTATGGCTATCATGTTTACATCACATGGCTATCATGTTTCCATCACATGGCTATCATGTTTCCATCACATGGCTATCATGTTTTCATCACATGGCTATCATGTTTACATCACATGGATATCATGATTCCTTCACATGGCTATCATGTTTTCATCACATGGCTATCATGTTTACATCACATGGCTATCATGTTTCCTTCACATGGCTATCATGTTTTCATCACATGGCTATCATGTTTCCATCACATGGCTATCATGTTTCCATCACATGGCTATCATGTTTCCATCACATGGCTATCATGTTTCCACCACATGGCTATCATGTTTCCCTCACATGGCTATTATGTTTCCCTCACATGGCTATTATGTTTCCATCACATGGCTATCATGTTTCCTTCACATGGATATCATGTTTTCATCACATGGCTATCATGTTTCCATCACATGGCTATCATGTGTTCATCAGATGGTTCATCACAAGACAATTATATGCAGATGGATATATACATATTTTAATTATTGCTATATATTGAATATATATATTGTTTTCTGTAGCTACTGAGATTCAAAATATTCAGATTGCTGATGGGGATGTATGCAGGGGAATGACTATTCCTATATTTATGATATTTCCAAGGTTGTTCACATGTCCTACCTTAGCCACCAGTAACTTTAAAGTTGGTAAGTTCACATATGTAACCAATCACTGTTAAGCTGGACCCCCTAAAAAACTTGGTTCACATATTTTTCAGGAAAAAATCCAGGGGTGACCATAATTTGTTTTTACAGATTCTCAATTTCGTAACAGTTTCATATTTTGATTTAAGATGGCCGAAACACTTTATTTCACCCTCTGGTCTAGTATATCATGGCAGTTGAGACTTTTAGCTGATTATCACTTGCAATAAATTTGCTCAGGTTTGGTCATTTTAGAACAATAGTAACAACTTATTATTATTTTTTCTTTTGAACCTTCAATTTACCCAAGCAAGTCAGTCAATAATTGACCTCAATTTGTTTTAAATAAACTGTCATCATTTATTATTGTTTTCAGTTTCCCTTCAACATTGTGGCAAATGTTGCTACATTCTGGCCTTGTTTTTAATGTAGTTAGTGATTTTAAAACAGTTACTCAAAACATGTCACTGACGCTGACTGGGGTAACATCAAAATGTTATACCTACTGATTCTTTGTAATTAACAAATTTCTAGTTTTGTTATTTCTATTGTGCATCAGACACTGCATCATGTCAAATGTTATTTTTCCTTTAAATTACACTTTTTAATTGTGTTTTTCAATTTTTTGAGGACTTGTTTTCTGTTGATAGTAAATGCTGTTAAATGATAGTAACAATTGTTTTTTTTTAAATTCCTAGAGTTTGAAGTAAATATTGTGATTGTTCTCCAAGATGATCATCTCATCACAGAAAATTTTCCTATCAAGTTATTTAGAACATAGTGGTCCAGCAGATGACTATATTACTTATTGTTTCTATGGCAACTGTATGTGTGACTTACCATCAATTTAAACAGGACAGATTAATAACACTTACTGCCAGACTGCCAAAAATGTTGTCACACATCATTCTCGTCGTTTTTCACACTTTAAAGACATGTATTTTCCTTCTTCATAACCCCAAGATATTCTCATTTTAAGTGATAATAAAGATGAACATTGTAGTCATTCCACTATGCACAATAAATTGTATGGACTGATATGGTGTCAATATAATCACACTTTTTCCAACCAAAACATTTGGTTTTTGATCTGGTCTGTTATTACCGCACATCTGATAGCATGAATTGGTGTAAAACATTTTTAAAAAAGATACTCGTATTTTAGAATACAATGAATGCATGAAATTAAACCAATTTACAATCCATGACAAACAAGTCATTGTCAATGACACGTCCCCGTTCCGTTCATATTTGAGTGACATATACATTCAAAGCAGATCATGACCGAAATGCACCTGCATATGTACAACACATTGTACTAAATCTGAACAAAATCCATCCATGCATGACTGAGATCTGGTTCCGGAATTGTGAAAATACGTGATTTTAATGCATTTTCGGTCTTAAAATGGCCATCATTCAGCTATTGTTAAGCGGATCATGAAACAAATGCACATATCTATTTGTGACATGATGCACCATGTGTGTGTGAAGTTTGAACTTGATCAATCCAGACATGTCTTGGATACGGATCCAGAACTGAATTCTTTAAGAAAATGGCCGCCAGTCGGCCATTTCGAACTTGATCCGGGGAAAAAAAATGACGTGCATCAAGGTCCTATTATGTTTAATGTAAGTACCAAATTTGAATGAAATCCGTCCATGCATGACTGAGATCCGGGTTCGGAATGGTGAAAATGTGGATTTCAATGCATTTTCGGCCTTAAAGCGACCGCCATTTGGCTATCGTTAATGGGATCATGAAACAAATGCACATACATATTTGTGACATGATGTACCTTGTGTGTGTGAAGTTTGAACTTGATCAATCCAGACATGTCTCGGATACGGATCCAGAACTGAATTCTTTAAAACAAAATGGCCGCCAGTCAGCCATTTCGAACTTGATCCGAAAAAAAAAATGACGTGCATCAAGATACTATTATGTTTAATGTATGTACCAAATTTGAACGAAATCCGTCCATGCATAACTGAGATCCGGGTCCGGAATGGTGAAAATGTGCGATTTTGATGCATTTTCGGCCTTAAAATGGCCGCTATTCGGCTATCGTTAATCGGATCATGAAAAAAATGCATGTGCATATGTCCCATATAATGTGTGATGTATGAGTGAAGTTTGAACATAATCGGTCCATGCATGTTCGAGATACAGGTGATCACGGACGGACGGACGAATGCACACAGGGCAAAACACAAGTCCCTGTTTTCGGACTCCGTCCGAACGGGGACTAAAAAACCAACTTGTTATTGTATCCTTAGTATGTTGACCTAAAACTACAATAAAAGAAACAGTATTTTGCTATTTTTTTTAGTTAAATGTATGAATTACCCTGTTAACCCTCGAGAAAGAATCTGTAAGGACAGACATACTATTAATATTAACCCAGAGACAGTAACTGGCATTTATTCCCACACGTAAATCTTTTGAGCAACAAGCAATTGGAGTTAATGCAAAGCTACTAACAAGATTGTGTTTGATTGGCAGCTTGGTTGTTAAGATTGTTTTGATGTATTAAATTTAGCCCTGTGTATATGCTTTGATTTAACTGGGCAATTGACAATTTTCGTCAATAAAATAAAACAACCTGTAGATTTGCACACCTGGGCAGCAAAGAAACAGATTATGAATCCAAGGAATCAATGGTTGTAACTTCAATTTGAAATGTAGTGTTGCCAATGAAATTCACTCTAAACTGTGATTGCAGAACAGTACAGTCAACAAATTATTTAAGCAAAATGTATAGTCATTATTACTGAATAAATACTTGATTTTATTTGTAGAATCTATAAATCAATCTCTGGTCACATTAGAATCTCCCTGACTTACGAGATTACTAACCACTGTGAAGTCAACTTTCTGTATGGTGTGAATAAAATGTCTCTCAGTGGTAGTACACAACTGCAACTTTTACACAGAGCAACTTTTTCTATACTCGCTTGAGTTCACATTGATAGCAACATTGTCTAATTTATACAAATTCAGTCATTTTCTTTGGCTGACCAAATTACATTTTAAATCATTTTGTACTTAAACAAGTCAATGACACGGCCCCAATTGTATTCGGCTGAAATTAATATTTAAGAACACACAATTACGTTTTGTAGTTCTTAAAACAAACTTTTTTGGTACAAATAGTGTCAAAAAGGCACATCTCATTGAAATTCGCTTGTGTGTGCCTAAATTTACTATTTTGTTTTCGAGTTGATGCAAGTGCTTTTACTGGATTGATACACGCATGTTGTGCATTAAAACAGCGGTGTTAAATAAACCTCCAGAGTCTGTCTGTTCAAACTTAATAGACTTTCCTATTAAAATATTCTGTTCTCCCATTAACCATTGGCAACTTCTTGAAAAGTGCCAGCTTAATTTGATACAAAGTATCAAAGCAATTTCTTTAAACAGCATCGGGGTCGACTACACGATCATTTCACAAACACTTTCATGTGAAACAGAGTTTCTATTTTTCCCCTTAATATAGCTATATATGCCAAATGGTGTCAATTTGGTGCTAAAAAAATGCATCAAAATGAAGCTTTTTTTTGCCATTCTGCAACAGGATCATATGAAAAGTTTTTACACACAAGTTACTGTAAGATACTTTATTTTAGCTAGAATTTATTTTCGGTGAAATATATTTTAGTTGTTTTGTATAAAGTTTATTCTCACTGAATGTAAAATACAAGAAAAATATTTTCACTGGTTCACCGAGTCAGCACAAATAAAGTACTTTACAGCACAAGTTAGATTCAAAATGGTTGACTGGTTAAAGTTTTCTTACCATTACACGACAGACTTGCCTACAAGTCTGAAAATTGGTAGAATACAAAGGGGTGGGAGATGGCCCAAGTTGCTACCAGTCATTTCAAACAAGCCATGCATGGCAGTTCAAAAATAAGATAACACATGTACAAGATCTGCTTCAAACATTTCAAAATACATTGTAATGCATTATAAAAACTACAAGTTTGAAGAAAATCTTGTGCCACATACCCAAGATCTGGTTCAGAACTGGTTAGCGTTTTATGAAAATAGTCTGTTATAATTGATCTGAAGACACATTAATTGCACATGTAAACATTTTGAAGTGAATTGTTCAAATTGTGCCAAAGCCCTCTGGAATAGAATGTCAAAAACTACTAATAGTCTATCCCGCAACAAAGCTTGAAATACAACTTCCAACACATACCCAAGATCTGGTTTCCAGACATAAAAATAACCCACAAGTTCCAGTATGGTACTTTTAACAGGGACTATTAAAATCATATCAGTCCCCCAACACAATTGATGTCTCCATGTCAGTTTCAACAAAGACATTTCTCCCACTTCATTTTGCTTCGTAATGGTAACTACATTCCTCAGTGCTCTAGGTTTTTTTTCTCCGTTTAAACGCAGTACCACCTCTCTCAATCTTTTTCACCACACCACAAAACACTAGATAAAACACCAATATTAAATACACAAAGATTTATTCATTGTAGTGCATCATACATAAATCTATGTTTCAGCTTCTTTTGTTGGGTTTCTTGTGTAGATGACTTGGGAATGGTGCTTTACGACTTCAATGATCAATCCTGGAATACAACAGATGTTGTTAATGTAGTATTTATAGCAAAAGGACATTTTGGAACAAATAGACCATGGCTACAGGGTCTTGATAAATTTTTTTTAAACAAGCAGAATTGAAGATATTACAAAATGAACAATGTGTAATATCAAAGCAAACAGACTTGCGGTTTTTAACAAGAAGTCGAAAATATCAGTTTTTACCAAAAATGGCAAAAATATTCATCAAAATTAGAGAATTAAAGATATAACGAAATGAACAAATCTGAGAGAGGTCTGTCCAAGGTACATATACACGAAGTATCAAAGCAATAACAATTGTAGTTTTCAAGAAGTCGAATAAGTACAAAGTTGTCATGGACGATGACCGACAATCACTCTTATGATAAGCTCTGTTCGAACACAAAATTATGCAGATTTAATGTTATGAAAAAAAAGTTGACCACAATATTCACCTTTTGATAGCAGTTCTTTAAGGGCAGCTCTTGCAAGAGATCCTCTGATTTTCAATCTTTCAGACACAACCGATGGTGTTATAAGTTTATAACTAGGAACTTCTTTATAAAATTTATCATATGTAGCTTTATCAAACAATACTAAGTTGTTCAACTTGTCACGAACTTTTCCCTTTGACCACTTCTGCAAATTGAAAACATCTATTCTCAATTATGTCATACAAATACAGTTTAGACATGAAAGGTCTGAACATCAGAACCAAGTATTATTTTTCTAAATGCTACATAATGAAAGTGTTGCATAGTAATTGTCTTGTTATCCTTTATACCAAATGCATGCATTTAAATGCAGATACTGAGGAATACTTAGATAGCTACATGCCATTTTAGCAAATTTGGCTCTAAGCATGAAATAAGAGAAGCTAATTAGACAACTTAAATTAGCTGATAAAATATGCTAGCTAAAAAGACATTTCAAAACATTATGGTGGATTCTATTTGTCATTAATCATTCAACAAATTTTTTCTGTGTTTCATAGCAAATTCAATTCTATTTCATGAACAAGTCTGATAACAAAAATCCAATATACAACACTATAAACCACATTCAAATTCAAAGATGTTAATCAATAAAAATTGGCAAAGTCGATGTTTGGTGTCTTTGGAGAAATATACTTGCCTTCTTTTTAGCCTTGCCACCCTGTGACTTTGGCTTGTCGGTCTTTTTGGGAGGAACTTTCCCTTTTTGTTGTTGCTTAGGCGGCTGTAGAAAAAATAAAGACAAGTATGTACATTTAGTATGTATTGTTCAACAAAATAATTTGTAGTGCAGCTTGTTACTCTCTACAAGAATGTAATCTATGAATCTATTTTCGGTATATCGATTGCATTGGCGTTCAACGTACAGTGTTCTGGTTTGTGACGTCATATGGTTATTTACCAATCAGAATATTTGTCTCAAGGTTGATCAATTGTTTCAAACATTGGTGGGTTCAAAGTGGATGCGTAGGACTTCTCACTCAATACACCAAGTGATGTAGTTTCGTAAACAGTCGTCAAACTGGCTCATCATTCAGCCGAATGTACTTTTAACTTTGGTGTAAGATTTCAATGCACCAGGTCATACCATTATTATTGGGGCCATCGACTACTCATAGGATTTACCGTAAAAACTAGATTAATTCATTTTTTCAAGTGCGCGAATTAATAGCGTAAAAATGGAAATTATTGGTTTTTGGTGCGCGAATTAAAAGAGTACTTTTAGATCGATTCAAAATGGAGCTGTTTTCATAAATGTATAAGTGATTTGTTTAGTTTTCCAATGAACACGATTACAGGACGTTGTTTTAGTGCCTCCGAGACTCGTGGCTAGCGACATTCATGGCGTATAATCGGACAGAGAACACGCACTGCATTAAGGACCACGCACCATGTTACACTTGAAATGGAACAGTAAAATGGCAAAGGTCACTCTGTACACAAACAAACAATGAACACGTGGCTACAAAGTATTATTAGTTGTTCGACAGGTAGCGGCAGTGAAGTCTGATGTACCGGATTCTGTCTTAAATTCGACAGTTTTTTAAGGTGTTATTTTAATCTTTTTTGATGCCTATAAGTTTCGCCGCAATCATTGACGCCTATTCAAAAGCATTGATGAAAGTATTGATGTTTATTGCGACTAGCGTGAATGGGTAAGCTTCGTTTCGACAATGAGCTGCTACCGCTGTAAACAATGTTAAATTATTCTTCAAATGCTCAGTTTATCTTTTGAAAACAAGTAATTTTCCGATCTAAATCCAAAGATCGTACTACAATCCCGGCAAATCTCTTCCGTGTTGCTTTCAATAACATTAACATATTTAAATGAGCTATGGTAATTTGAACACGTTTGCATCATCCATCGTTTTCACTGGTTAATTATCGATTTGACCTGTCAAGTAAAGAAACATTGTCTCAGGTCAAAACATGGTAGATATTCATTTCTACAGCACCGGGTGTTGAAAATGCAATCGGAACCATTCGCTTACGATGAAACTAAGTTGAAATTTATTTGCATTTCATAAGAATTCAACAAATTTATTTTTTGCACGTTATTATAATAATAACTAGGTAATAATCAACAATTGTGAAACTCAGCATGACCGGATTGCGCCACGACGACCATTTGCTACTAACCGACTTGAATCCAAGTTGGGTTACTTTTTATTTGAAACTTCTTTTAGAATATACTTTCGTCACTAATAAAATGAAACCAAAATATTGTATTTGGCGCACAAGGTTCGTTAATGTGATTTTTTTTTGGAGAAAGATGCGCAGTCTTCTTTTTAATCAAGCAAGAAAATAATGTATAAAACTTTAGATTATCTTCTGCAATAGTTTCTTTTGTTTTGGGTGGTCCAACTGCCGGTGTTGAAAACAGGCGTAGGTGAATTTTTCAATGAAAATATAAGCCCCCATTTTTTTAAAAATTTGAACCCCAAATACACCAGCCGTGAAACCGTCCAGGGCGATTTTTCGGATGGGCGAATTTACGGCAGAATTCGGTGCTGCCCAAGAAATAAAAACTGCGCAAGTTAACGGCTACTTTGTAGCCATGTGTTCATTGTTTACATTTCTCCCCCGTCAAGCACTTTCTAAAATAGCGGACACATGGTCGATGCAACGCTGTGGACCAGCCACCAAAAGCCGTGTACTAAGCTTTCCATCACGGAAAATTCGTAATCGATGTGCTAACCGATGGATATTCATTGACTAAGTAATAAATTGCCCAACATCTGTAGTGTCATGGGGGGGGGGGGG